CTAGAGTAGTACAAGAGAAAGAGATTGGGCGGAGGCCAGGGATACTTACCTGCAGCACCGTTGCTCCAGCTTCATCTTCGAGGTACCTGCAGCACAGCGCCATCTTCACAGGTTAGTACCTGACACATGAGAGAGAGAGTTCTTCTTCCTCTTCTCAGTCCACCATCTCCTTCTCACCCTCCCGCTATCTGACTTCACTGCATCAGCAGCCTACGAGAGAGAAAGAGAGAGCTTGGTGACATTCGGATCCAGACTCGACATTGGATGTCCATCACAAGGTGTGAAGGAGCCTGGCGCTATACACAGGAAAGAGGCGCCAGGTCCAGACATACACAGAAGAAGAGGAGGGGATCAGACAAAGAAGAGGAAGGGGGAGATGGGAAAGTCGTCAACACCAAGTCGCATTTCGAGGCCCAAATTCGAAGAGGGATTACTTGGGCCTCGAAATGCGACTTGGTGTTGACGACTTTCCCATCTCCCCCTTCCTCTTCTTTGTCTGATCCCCTCCTCTTCGTCTGTGTATGTCTGGACCTGGCGCCTCTTTCCTGTGTATAGTGCCAGGCTCCTTCACACCTTGTGATGGACATGATGCATGTTTGGTCTGCGTTTCAACATTGATTGGGCTAGTCATTTGCATTCTAGCATTTTGCTTCGCTACCTTGTGCTACGTGAATGAGGTCAGTCCCGGTCAGGTCAGGACTTGTATCTAAAGTTTTCCCTGCGCGATAAAAGCACCATTTTGTATGTATCGGAATGCATATTGCTTGTTGAGATTCTACTTGCACTGCATTGTCCATTCAGTCCTTTTTATCACATTGCGGATCCATGGTTATTATGTACATCGCCCAACTGGGCATGTAACAGATAGCCTGCATTAATTTTTGCCACACGTAACCTGGAGGAGACAGTTGGTTCCCACCTCAGGGGTATAAGCTTTGTGGCAGTGGGTGTCACCGACCTCCAACTGAGGTTAATATCGCATGCCTGTCTCAGACAGGCATGGCACCGAACCAAGGAAATCCCAAAACACGAGAGAAAGAACAATGTGATGCAGCGGAAGACTGATAATACAAAGATTTGCCTCATCACACTCCGGCCATGACATGCACACACATCGTCATACAAGATGGCGAGGTAATATCATGCATAGAGGAAAGGAGCTACCTTGCCCACACACATAGCAAGATATTCCCATAGACGAAGGGGGGCATGAAGAATGAGATGAAAGGGGGAACGAAGAGACTGCCACTCAATCCCACTGTTGGACGATAATAGTCTCTCTCAGTACTCCCAACAGAAGTCTCAGTCCGAATGTCAAGCCCGAGTGATGCATGTTCATCTTAGGATGAGTGATGCACGCGTCCGAAGGAGCACCAATATGACGACTCACGACAAACAATGCAATCCGCAAATAACCAATGAGCATCCAGAAAAGAGACAATATCAGGCAATGTAGCACAACGGAAGACTCGACTCATCAGACTCAGACTCAACTCACACAGACATCATCACACACGTGGATTCAGCAAGGAGAGGAACATACATGGAAGAAAGATCCCTCCTTGCCCACACACATAGGGAAGAGCCCCACAGATGATGGAGGTGGCAAAGGAGAAAGAAGGGGGTAGAGACGAGAGAGTACCTCAAAGTCGCACAAAAATTGCATCCCGGTCAAATGTCCAATAATTATCTCTCTCAGGATGTCGAATCAGAACCTGCGTGCTCATTGGCACGAAATAGCTACTCCCTGGTCTCTCTCTCTCTCTCTCTCTCTCTCTCTCTCTCTCTCTCTCTCTCTCTCTCTCTCTCTCTCTCTCTC